TCCATGTAATCAAACAACTAATAAATGCTAAAATGGCGCCCCGCGTGTTGTCGGCAAAGTAATACGTATCCCATTCGCGGATATAACCACTGGTAAAACTATACATTAACAAATATTTACTAATTATACAGCGAATCTCGATTTATTGGATACTAATTAAAAATGGTTTTATGGATAAAAGTTCAAGAACGGTTCCATAATAAAAACCCTCTCGATATAGTGGATTTCTCGTTTTAACGTATTTTTGGAAAAATTAATTGCCCAAACTATTCGTTAAACCGAGATTTACTGTGTAATAGTTGAAGATTCACGCACCAGGTAACGATGTTGAACGAAAATGTAGTAGATTCAACATGTAGAACATTCTGAGAAGGAAATGGTGATGTAAAGTTAGTTCTGGATCAATGTACGAATTCGACCCACTCTCTCATGTCTTGATAAAAGTATAGCAGTGGAAGCATTTTTTCTGACGATCATTGCCATTTTTGTTTCAACGAATTTAAGTGAAAGGTATGGTAATTTTTTTAATTGTTAATTTTCCTTAGAAAATGATAAAATGATGTCAGATGATAATGATGTTATTAATGGTAATAATATAGAAATATTTGAAGATATAGTTTCTTTAAGAAAATGGAGACGTCAATTAATTTTAGAAAAAAAATTGTTAGGCTTTGTGCCAACAATGGGATGTCTACACGAAGGACACTTAAGTTTAGGTGAGTATTATTTATTATTATGATATAATAGTATTAATTAAATTTAATAACAAATAATTATAATTACAATTATAATAATAATGATAATAATAACATCATAATTTATCATATATAAGTCAAACAAGCAAATGATAATTGCCAAGCAGTTGTTGTTTCAATTTTTGTGAATCCTACACAATTTGCACCAAATGAAGATTTTCACAAATATCCACGAGTATTGTCAGACGATATTAAAAAATTATCATCATTAACAACAACAATCATTAATAACAATAACAATAACAATAATTTAAAAGTTTTTATTCCAAAAGTTGAAGAGATTTATCCATCAGGTGCTCCTTTAGAAGTTGATAAACAAAAAGGTACATTTGTTGAAGTAAAGGGTAAATCACATCAGGTAGATAATCTTTAATCTCAATCTTAATCGTTTTCTTAATAAAGTACACATTTATATAATATATTTTAATGTTTTATTAACAAAAAAAAGCTTGAAGGCAAAACACGACCAACATTTTTTCGTGGAGTATCAACAGTAGTTACCAAATTGTTTAATATAGTACAACCAGATCATGTATACCTTGGTCAAAAAGATGCACAACAATGTGTAGTAATAAGAAGTATGATAAAGGACCTCCACTTTCCAATTGAGATGCATGTTGGCGAGACAGTTAGAGAGAATGATGGGCTAGCAATGAGTTCAAGAAATAAATATCTTAGTAAAGAAATGCGCAAAGTGGCAACTACATTGTATGATGCATTAATGATTGCCAAGAAATCTTTTTATGATAAAGGTATACGTGATCGTGAAAAACTTTTGCAAGGTGCTCATGAATTAATTGAACGTGCAAGAAAAAAGGTAGACGAAGACCAGACTTTGGAATTTGAAGTTAAATTGGACTATTTATCATTAGCTGATCCTGAAACATTGGAGGAAATTGATTTCATTATTGGAGAGGATGAAGGAGGAAATGGTGCATTGTTATCGGGAGCTTTATATGTTGGTACTACAAGATTAATTGATAATTTATTATTAAATTGTAAAATTTGATTTTATCATGTGATGATGATTAATTTTTTATCAATGCCCATAGTAATTAATAAAAATTTGATAAAAAGGTTTAACTGAATTATTATAATGGTGTACCTGATTTTTTAGTATAACAACTCTTTCATGTTATTTTTAAAAAAGAAAAAGAAAAATCCAAACCATAAATAATTACTGATGTGATCAATCTATTATGATTGTTTTAACAACAAAAGGTAATAGATCGTATAATATTTTAGAGATTGGACACATCCATAAAGATAAATAATTAATTAGTAAGACCGTTTTCTTACACAACATACCAGAGTTATACAAGTAAAAAAATAATGGATTTGAAATTACGAGAAATAAATTTAATCTAACAAATTTATGTGTTTACCTAATAAAAGTGCATTTTATGAGCTCATAAATATTTCACAGGGTTTCAACTCAATAGATAGAAATACGTTTTAAGAATAATTTTTATTAGAAATCGTTCAGAACTTTTTGAAGATGCCACTCACAAATATATTTCTATACAATGTCATTCATCATTCTGGATATTATTATCATTATAACTATTATCAACCTTTACAAATTCTTGAGGATGGGTAGACATTTCTTTTTGTATTAATTCTCTTCTTTGTTGAAGCCTTCGTTTCCTTCTAGCCTCAGCACCATTATGAATATCAACTTCTTGTTCTCGATCAGGTATTATGCATGGAATAACAGTAGGCGAGTTGTTAAAATCAACAGCAACTGAATATAATCAATATAATAAATCAATATAATATTTGGTTATCTTTCAAAATCAATAGACAGTCATATTTACCCATGGTATAAAATCCATCATTAGTGAAGTAACTTTCACCTGCAAAACCTCAAATCCTCCATTCATTACGTTCTCTTTTTTAGCATAGATAGAACGCAAATTACTGATTGAAAAAACAATTAGAAATCATATTCCTAAAATCTACAACACTATCACTATTACTACTATAACTACTATTACATGTAAAATTATAATGAAATGAAAAGAGAATAATGATATTTATGATAAGAGCTATTAAATATGGAGCAGAGAAAAAATCAACAAAATTAACAGTTGACACTTGAGGCTTAAAATTCTTTAATTTCTTCTAACATTATGGTAATGGTTCGTTTACTGTTTTATTAACATTCTAATTGTGTCGCCACCAATTTCAGAGATAGAAGGTACTTTTAAAAAAATAAAATAATAGATTGATCAATATTGATAATATTCTAGATACATGTTCTGGGAGCTCAACTTTTTTCAGAATTAAAATTTTCATCTGTATGATGAGTTATAACAGGCGATTCTCTTTATACATTGTATAATTCTCTACCGCGAGGCGTGCAAGGTAAACAACTACGAATGAGAAATGCGGTATTAATTAAATTGATTTTAATAATTGGATTTTAAGATGTTTATAACTTTGGATGCAAAATAGCTACAGAAAAAAAATTTTTAACTCCTAGAAACATCGTCTATAACGTAACGGGCTGTTTTGTTTATGATTTTTCATAATAGAATTTGTAATTAAAATTACATTTGCAGCATGAAAATACATCAATGTTAATAAATATTTTTAAAATATGGCTCTGTTACGTTGTAGAGATATTTCAAATTATTTTTCAAACTATCTGTATGTTGGTGAGTCATAACAGTTTACGCAAAAGCGATTTTTCTTTTTTATTATTATTTGATCCTCCAATCAATTACTTGATTAGCAAATTATGCGGCAAGCATCGCCCTTGCCTTTCTAATTGTTTCGCCCCACACGAAAGATATAATCTCGTTAAAAAATGCCTCCGATAAGATTCTTTAATTTTATAATTAATATTATTAATCGGTTATTTCAAACAAATATTCGTTTGTTACCACCACCACCAGAACAACAGTCATCAGATTTTACTACACCTACACGAAATGTACCAGAGTCAAAGCTTACTTCAGAGTCTAGGTAATTAATTCTTTAGTTAAAAAAAATTCATTAATCCCAATTTGTACTAATCAAAAATTTAAATTTTAGGTTTACAACAACAAAAATTGTTTCACCTTCTGATGCGGATACAAGAGGTTTTGTTTTTGGTGGTGTTGTTTTAGGTTGGATAGATCAAGCTGCAGGAACTTCAGCAAAAAAGCATGCAGTTTTTCCATGTGTAAATAGTTTATATATTTATATGTTAATTTATTAATTTATTTCATGAAACCAACTTACTATTATCATTTAGAATTAACAATATTGTTTCCGTTTCTTATGAAATTTAAGGTTACAAGAAGTGTTGATGCTGTTCATTTCATGCAACCAATTAAAGTTGGAGATTTTTTAATTATTCAAGCTAGTGTAAATAGATCATGGAATACTTCAATGGAGGTAAATTGAGAACGAGAGATTATCTTGTTTGTATTAAATAAAATTACCTAAAAGTCATTTTTTTAGGTTGGTGTTCGTGTTGAAACTGAAAATCCAATAACTGGAAAAAGAAAATACTGCTGTCATGGTATTTTGTTCTTCATAGTTATTATAATAAATAATCAAATAAATATGCATATATTAATCCTGATATTAAAAAAACATTAGCATATTTGACATTTGTGGCTTTAAATCCTGGTGATAAAACTGCTTTAGGAAGATTTAGATATAATAATTCTCCAGCAAAAGTTTCTCAGCTAGTTCCAAGTACAACAATTGAAATGGCACGATATGAACTTGCTGAAACCCGTCGACAATCTCGTATATTTTCGGAGTAGGTGGAGATAAAATAGTAATTCAACAGCGGATTTTTTTATTTTTTTTATTGTTTTTTCTATTACTATAAATATTTTTTATTTTTTGTTTGAGAAAAATGCGTTTATTATTTT